TGTTTTTCTTCCTGTTCCTACAGTTAGATGTTGGATGTATGTGGGATTTTCACTGTGCAGAATGATGTATGTGCCAAGTCTGACACTAGAGGGATGTTTTCACATTCATCTGCTGGAAGTGGATGGAAGTGGATTCTCTGTGGTTTCTCTGTGCTCCCTGAAAATTTGATTTTAAGGGGCGGGGCCTACAAACATATTTGTGATATTACAAAGAGTTTGGTCAATAAGTCAGTTCTGGTCCAGTATGCATCTTGTACATAGTGTGATGTAGAAGTTAACAGTTACTGTAATTTCCGGACTATAAGCCGCTACTTTTTTCACACGCTTTTGAACCCTGCGGCCTTAAACAATGATGCCGGCTAATCTATTAGATTTGACTGGCAGGAAGGCGCACAAGAACGAGGACAGACAGGTGGGAAGATATAATGCGGCCGGGGAGGCAAGACGCTCCGTAGTTTGCTGGTTTTGGAATCATTCAGTTGCAATTCATTTTCAATTCGTCATTTTGCCGCATCATTGCACACACCCTCATCATGGAAAACACAAGAAGAAATGCCACATGGATGCAGCTTTTAAGTTAAAGGCAATCCATCTGGCGCTGGGTTGAAGGAGGAAATGGAGCTGCTGCACGTAAGTTTGGCCATCAATGAATCGAGTGGTGAGACGTTGGAGGACGGCAGGCACTGTCCTATTTAATTAAAAAAAAATTTTTAAAAATTCTGTGTACCATCTTTCTGTGTAAATATCTCATGTTACAACGTGGACACCTGCGGCTTATAGACAAGTGCAGCCTATATATGAAATTTTTTTTCTTTTTAAATTTAGTTGCTGCGGCTTATATTCAGGTCCGCTCAATAGTCCGGAAATTACAGTACTGTGATTACACATATCTTTTTTGTATACGTAATCATCAGTTTAGCTGTCTTTCAAAAAGACACTGCAGTGTAATTCACAGTAGAAATCTAATCTTTGGAGTAATGATGTTACAAGTCAGTTGTAACACCACAATCTGCTGTGCTGTTATTCATCACTTTTAACTGTAAAAGTTTAACTGTTTTAACTTAAGTGATTATGATTTTTTTTTTTTTTTTAAAGAAAAAAAAAGCATAATTCCAAATTGTTGTTGGAATCCAATTGCAGGCTAGCTAACCCTTGAAATGATTTGAATGTCAGATGTTCTTAAACTGTTGAAAGAAAAAATACAAAAGCCTTTAAAGCCTTTAATCAGCTTGTTAATTCTTGTTTACCTGTCCCTGTCTCCTCATCAATTCTGGTATTTCAGTATACCCATATTCCTAAATGAATGCTAATGTTAATAATTGAATCACTTAGAAATGTGCCTCACAGCTATCTGCCCTCATCTAATTTAGATGTTCTACCACCAAAAATACTGAAAAAGAGGTTTGACAATTTACTGCCCACTGTCTTTCGATCACTGGCACTGAGCCTGTCTGTTTTGGTTTGGTCCCTGACTATTTTCTGCATCCTGCAACTAAGAATGTTGATAAAATTAGATTAACATTGCCTAGAAATAAAGCTGATCAAATTCTAGATCATTTCACCTCTTTTTTTTACGTCTAAATGGTTCTCAAAAAGCACATCTGCATTTGGACCAAAATGCACAAGCATAGTTTCTACACCAAATGCACAGAGCATATTTCGCAAGTCCTGGCTGCACTGCATTGACTTCCACTGTATTTTAGAGTTTAGTTTAAAATCTTGTTAATTACATTTAAAGCCCTTTATGGTTGGGATCTATCGTCATTTTTGATCTTTCAACCCTAACCCAACTCTTCAGATGAGATGACAGAAAGCTTTTATAAATTCTGCAGTCTGGCTCAAAACAAATGGCTACTGTTTTAGGTCCAGTACAATGGAACAGCCTTCATCTCACTGTTAGGTCAGCACAGTCAGTACTGCATGGAATAAACATTCAAAAGGTTATTTGTAATTAGAATTTAAAATTAAAAAATTTACTTAAAGTAAACTAAAACACTACAAAAGTTGCTTTGTTTTTTTACCCAGAATGCAATGAAGCATCACTGAGCAAAACACAAAGAACTGAGCTCACAATCAAATATGTACAAGCTCTTATTACTAGTAAATTTCTGAAATTTGAAAGCCATACTTCTGTTTACCACACAATTACAATGTTAAAATAATTGCCTTTGTTTGATTACAACTATTCTAGAGTTGTAAATGTCTGTCTCACAGTATTATCAACAGCTGATCCATGGCACCTAAAGCAACTAATCCCCACCAACACAGCCCTTTGCACTGTTTTGTAGCAAACCTGTTTGCAGTCTGAACGCCCACTAAGTTTAACTATATAAACTACATGCCAATAGAATTCTCTTTTTAGATTAAAAAAAAAAAAATCTTCTGAAGCCTAAAAATTATTTTATAGGTTATGGATACATTTAGAGAAAACAATTGGCAAAAAATATCAAAGCTCATTATTTTTGGTTATCACTGGCCTTCAGAGAATGATGATGTTCCCATAGAATCCTGGACTGTGATTGATTTTGGACCTTCATCCAGAAGCAAGCCTGCTATATCCCATTCTTATAATGATGAAGATCTGGCTATTGGAGAGGACGGGATAAGAGTTCATCCTAGTTTTCAACATTTAACTTGTTAAGCGGTGTGTTTGTGGGAGATATAATCCATGGTAGCCTATTGATTTGCAGCGACGTATTAATCTAATTTTTTCTGTCATGGTTATTCTTCCAAGCCCTGTTGCTATCAAGATGAAGGTCAAAACATGGTGTACACTGATCAATAATGGATGCAAAATGGACTAAATTAGTTACCTTGAACCATAATAAGAAGGCTAAGAGCAATAGTTACAGAACCAGTGAGCTAGAACGTGAACTCCTAGTTTTGCCTGAATGGCAGAAGCCAAATTTTAACATAGTTGATTTAAGGCCAAAGGCATTACAGAAATTACTTAAATAGAGCAACACATTAAATCTAATGCTACTTCATGTGCCATTTCTTTTCCTACCCTTTCTTCTGAGCAAATGTCTTAATCTATAAATTAAAAATGGGTCCTTAAATCCATTACAAACCTCCCTCCCCCAGCTGAACTGCCTCTGGAGGAGTCAAAGAGCTTTCTTATTAAGACAGATAAGGGAGAGGAGGGGCGAGCGAAAAGAGGAGAAGGAGAAGTTGAGAGAGGAACAGAAAGGCAAGTGAAAGGAGAGGTTCTGTGTGAATTAATTATTTCTCACTGGATTAAGACCAATTTGATGGAATGGGGTATGCATGCGTGTGTGTGTGTGTGTGTGTGTGTGTGTGTGTGTGTGTGTCCATGTTGCAAGGGGATTAAATGCAAGGGAGTCTGGGGCATGTGGGGTAGGAAGAGTTATTTTGAGGAGCAAGGTCAGGGGCTAACAAACAACACCATATTTAGCAGTGATGATGGCAACTTAAGCCTAGTTACCAGGGGCTGAGCATTACTGAAAAAGAGTGACACCAGATTCAAGTAATTATATTTGGAAGCACCATAAAATAATGCTAGATATGATAGAGAATGATGAGAGAGGTGAAAATTGATATTCTTAGCAAAATATGTGAGATAAACAGTTTCAAAGAAGGAGGGCCAGCGGGGTTAAGCATATAAGTTGCACTCTTGGACTCATCACAGTCACAACAGCTGGCGAGCTCTGCAAATGATCTGGATTTGTGTAGCTTTGGAATCCAAGAGTCTAATGACTCTGAATGGAAAATCAGAACGCAACAGACTCTATTAAAAACCAATAAGCACATAGACAACATAATAATTACTGTAGTGAATCAAAAAAAAAAAAAACCTGATCATATGTGTGTCAATAACATGTTCTGATTTTGGGTAGTTTTGTAATATAGGAGCTGCTAGACTTCAACTTGGCTATTCAGTCTTTGAATAAGAATGGTTCCTGATGCTGCTTTTGACCTTAAGTCCATTAAGCCCATCTTCCGAATTAATCAAGTAAAATCTTCTATTTTTCCATTAGCTTATAGCTCAGCCATCAAACACCCAATTTATTCTCTGTTCCTGCAACCTTAAATAGCCATACTGCTGCTCACTGTGCTTATTACAAGGCCTACATAGAATTTGTGTTTCCCCTGAACAATTTGTTTTCACCCACAATACTTTTTGTGCATTTCTGTATGACTTTTGTGTTTCAACACTCTACTACACCCTCTTTATTGGATACTATTGCTTCCGATTGTACCCTTAATGTAATACTATTATCGTGTTATACCACTGTGTTAAAAAAAATATGTGTGTAAACATAACTCAGATGGCATGCATGTATGAACACAATGGTGTTTGCAGACAATGTGAGGTGTAGTGGAGAAATGAACAATATAACATCAATATAACCCAATATAACCAAATACAAGCAAAAAAAGGCTCACCTGTGACATTAACATAGACCATAGTGAAGGCCGCCAGTGGTACAGCAGCGACATTCTGAGCTCGGACCCGCAGCATGAAGTTCCTGGTGGTCTCGTAGTCCAAGGGCTCTGCTACCAGGATGGAGGCTGAACCATCTTCTCGGTTGGGGGTCAAGTAGAAGCGAACTGGCATGTTGGTCTCTGGGACCATGCCGTCCTCCAAGTTGTAGGTTACCCTGGGATCCCCAAGAGGGGAGGTGGCTTTGATGGTCTGTTTGGAACAAAGCAGAGGATTAAAGGTAATATTTAATTATAATAGGATATCACTTATTTCAGCCTGCATACCACTGTGGGACTTAGTAATCGTCTACAGTCAGTACTGGTCCCAATGAAAGCCCATGGTTACCACTCACTTGACTTTCTTAGAATTGTCCTATTAGTCATCTTACCTAATAACTGAAGAAAAAAATAGCCCCAAAATAATAGGTTTGTCCACGGCTACACTTGGTCATATACACATGGCCAATTACTTATTATTAGTTAGGGATGCACAATATGTTTTTTTTCCGCCCACTCGATACAATAATGAATAATTTCCTGCTCCTCATGGCCAATACAATAACAAAAAAAAAACTCTTTACATTTTTTCTAAAGTAAACACGGTGAAGTTAAGTTCATCAAAAAACTTTACGAACATACTTTGACTTTCATAAAATAATAACCAATTATTATTATAGACTGACAATTTATCGGCTCTAATGTGATTATCCCGATAATTCCTAAGATAAATTTCCCATTATTGGCCAATAATGTATCGGTCCCGACAAGCAGTTGTCATTTTTTCATTTTTGGAATTAGTTACCCATGATAACTTTCTGGTGTAAGGTGACCAATGGGACAAAATCCTAAAAACTGACAGCATGTTTCCAATTATCAATTCTGAGAGCTGGAAAAAATGCTTAATGCCAGCAATGATCCTAAGCACAAGAACAAAAATGAGGACATCTGCTGCTGAGCTTCAATGGAAGTGTGCATTCTAATAGTGAAAAATGGGAAAAAAGGGTTTTTATAGCCCATAATAATGAACACTAAATTATTAAGGCAGTAAGTCTCAAACTGTTAAATTTGACAACAACCAACTGAAATCCTGTGGAATATACTCTTAATTCTGGGTTCTCCATAAACTAATTAAGGAGAAGCTACTCAAAGCTAATGCCATATACACCCCAATTAAAATGGAAAATGCCATCTCAGACATGATGCAGCTTGGCTATGGGTGACCTAGCAGTATCCATTCAACCTGCAAAGCAGAGTAGCTACAATAATGAGACGCCCTAACAGGCATGCAGAATTGGAAAACATGCCTGATGACTGTATGTGCTGATTTAGGCCATAAAAACCTCAAATTTCCATGGTAGAGCTATTACAACCTGCTGAGAGTAATTGCATCTTTGCATAACAGTCAAATCAACACTGAGCTGCCATCTCGATTAACACACTGTGCTGTAGAGACCACGCTCACTCTCATCTCTCACAAACACATTCACATGTTCTCACACACACACACACACACACACACACTCATGCAAAGTACTCTGAGGTGTGTCTTTTTATTTCAATCTTTTGTTTTAAATTATTCATCAGCAACTTTAATGGATTTAATTGCTTTCAATAGATCCCTAGAAAATACTGCTGATTAGTTGAAAATGTGTTAGTGGCATGAAAAGGCAGTGTCTATGTATAATCAAAGGCAGTTGATAGGATAACTGCACAAATAATGAAGCCTTATTAGTAGAATTAAGTGTGGTTTTAATTTTTTTTTTTAGCTGGGATTCCTATACCTTTGGCTTCACTGCCATTCCAAGTATGTTACACAGTTACACTTTGATGCTCATCATTGATTAACAAGCGACATGTCTTCCCTTTAGGCCACCACCGCCACCCTTGTTTATAAATAAACATGTCTTGCCTGTTTTTTGTGTGAAAATTGTACAAATTCTCTACAGTGTTACAAATTGACCCATATGTGTTTGTTTATTTGCTTCCTGCACGTGTCAACTGCAATACAACCCCAACCCCAACGTACCACGATTGGTGTGTCTCGGACAGTGTTTTCTGGTATGACCACGCTGTAGCTGTCTTTCTCCCACTGTGGAGGCTGGTTCTTAACGTTGGTGATGGTAACGGCTAGCTCCACTGAACTGCTCCGGTTCCCCCCGTCTGTAGCCACAATTTCCCTGGTGATGTAGGTCCTCTGTGGCAGAGGAAAGAAGAGGAGAGATCACTTAATGGTGTGTTCTTATATTGCCAAATAGTGTGGCACAGTGATAATTACAGCTTCCTTGTTGGGGTTCTAAATCACACAGATTTCAGCAAGCAATCAATTCCCCATGCTTCTGTGCAGGGAGAAATTGACTGTAGGCTGTAAAAACAAACATACTTGAAGATAATTGTATTGATTGAGCAGAGTTTTGTCACCCTTACAAGAGCAATTAACTTTAGCCACTGCAATCAGGGAAAATCTGTTTTAGTGACTAAAGAAAATAACGTAACCAAGAATCTGTGATCTTAATGTTGGTCAATTGGCGTATGTTAGAGAACAAATTCAAACTGTGATGACACAAGTTCACTTTCTTCCATTGTGTTTGTGGCCTTCTGCATTATGCATCATGTGATGAAGGTTATTTGCACATTCTGCCAATTTTCAAATTCACAAATGCAAGAATTGCTTGTCATAGTGCCCACTTTCTCCATGACCTCCTAAAGATTTTTCTTAGTTATGCAGTTTTAAAATTCAATCTTTGCTCGTACCAATTAAGACAACTGAGATCGTCACACTGGCAAAGGCTAAAAAAACGTGTAGGCAGTGCCTGCTTATTATACTTTATGCAGTTTTACTCATTAGTGGAAAAGTTTTGTATCTTCACTATGTTCTACTGAGCCATTCTCTCAGGCAAAAATAGTGGCATAGAGCCAGGTGTTGGTGTAAGATGCAAGGTGCTGAGGATACAGACATGCATTCCTCTTGGCACTGGAAGATGCTGAGTTGTTGCTTGTTTGGGCTTTTATAATTGTGGCACTCATCTAAGGCACAGACTTGTTTTGCGCAATTTCCTCTATTTCTCGTTCATGTACCCACCAAGATTGTTTTTCTTACTAGTAGCGAAGCAAGGGGTTAGAGGCAGTGAAGTAAGAAAAATATCAGCTCCTGCTGCCAAAGAAAAAGGCTCCAGTGAGGACATTATCACACACTCAGGCTGACTGTCTGCTACTGGACACTGGACTTCTGCCCCTTCACTGTCAGCAATAAAATGCTTGAATGCAAATATACTTGCTTTTCTGGCCATGTCCTGGGAGAAGTAGCACTGTTGGAATGATTCATGACCTGGAATCAGTGAGCCCTGCCTCCTAATGGTTTACACCATTTTTTTCCTGGCTGACTGGGAGCTTCTTCATACATAGGTGTCAGAACTGATGGTAACTTACTGACTACACTACTTAGCTTCAGCACTCATCCGACCTCTGCTTCAAAACAATAATTCATTCCATGAAGAAAATGTGAGTCGCTTGTTTTTCCTAGGGGATTAAGCCTCACTACAATATCAATACATGGGAATCTGACACAGTGGCATTGAAATAGAAAACAGCCAATCTATAGAGGCATTAGTATTAAATTGATATTGTTTTATAACCTGTTAAAACCAGTTAAACTTGTTTACTTAACTTAACATAATGATAATATGAGGATATTTCTGTATTATTCATTTAGTGTTTCTGTTTTTTTCCCAACACATTGACATTAGTTGTGAATTAATGGCAATGGCACTATTGAATGGAAAACTGCCTGGACTGTCATCCATCAGCCATCTGACCATGGCTACTTATGCTTAAGAGCCTTGTCCATCAAATTTAAGTCAAGCATGTTGGTTTAGGTGCATTCCTAACATCGCATTTAGTTCTTCAGTAAAGTTACAAAATTACATAATTATCTTCAAGTGCTTTTGTGCCATTTGGAGTGGCCCCATATGCACAATTAGCTCCAATCATATTTGTAAAATACAATCCAAGGGAGTACATGGGTTATTTGCATTTTCTATACATTTTTGCTATAGAGGAAACACAACAGAAAGTCATTTAAACATAACTGTATGATATTATCTTTGTAAATAGAAGGCTAAAACTGTCCAAATGGTGATTTGATATTATCTGTTTTTATACAGTATGTGTGTACCTGAGAAATGGGCTGGTTGACATACACCCAGCCTGTCAGGGGATTGACCCTGAGGTACTCCGGCTGTTCACTGGACATAGAGTACGTGATGGCTGCATTGGTGCCAAAGTCATCGTCATGAGCTGCCACCCGCAAGAAACTAGTCCCGATCATTGTATCCTCACGAAGGAAGTCTATGGCAGAAGAAGAAGAAGTGTAGCTCAGTTGTACTGTGAGGCGTTAATTTGTTTGTTCTTTGTCTTTTATACTTTATTTGTCAGTGCAGTGGAAGGGTGAGCTCAGGGAGAGCAATAAAAAAAACAAAGAAACAAATGTAAAATACATAAAACACTAAATACTGAAACACTTCAAGTCTTGCAGAACAAAGCAGAACTTTGATACATCAAAAAATTGATTTTCCAGTGGACTTTTTCCAGGAAAAAATAATGAACACTGATGAGTAAATGGCAAACATTAGTTGTAACCAATATCTACTGTAATTTTGGAATAATAGCATCAAAAGGTTACTAAAACATTAGCTTATTTTTAGTCCATTTTTGCGTGTTTCCTTAGAGTAGGGTTGCAGTGGGTTGAGCTCTGAGTCACCATACTTCAGACTAATATCTACTTACACTCATATCGGATGTTCTCAAACTTAGGACTGTTGTCGTTCTGGTCCAGGATGAGGATGTTGAGCTGACAAATGCCAATCAGTGGGTCAGCTGCCTGGTCAGTGGCAGTCACTGTCACTGCATACTCCCGTTGGCGTTCGCGGTCAAATTTCCTGGCTGTCACAATTACTCCTACAGACACAAACATAATGAGGTTGATCAGACAGCTAAATTATACTGAACACAGCTTGGTTTCTTGTCCCCAAAGCATATGCAATTTAACACTAAAATGATTTCCATTGTTTGCCTTGAAGCTAAACTTTAAAGACAGAAGAGCAGCAGAATGGGTAAGGAAATGAGAGTTTTTCAAAAGTAGTTATCATCAAATCCATGGAGAATTATATTTATTATTAATTTCAGAAATGATTTTAGTGATGGCATCAATTAATAGAGAACTGAAAGTAAAAATCGAAGTATTTTCCGTGAAAATACTGAATATACTAAAAAACACTGTTTTGTTTGAAGTTAGCCTAAAATAATGTTTCCTTTATTTTAGCAGTGATAATAATATGAAATTGAAGACTTATAAACTTGCAAGCACCCTGCATGCCTTGTTGCTCTGCACCAAGGTCTTCTGTATGTGTACACTCATGCAAGTGGAAGTGAGTATGTGTGTTTCAGTACCGGTGTCGGGGTGTATACTGAATGCAGGCACAGTGGAGTCTTTGTGCATAAAGCCGTATGTGACCCTGCCATTGGAGCCCTCATCAGCATCCACAGCATGAACCTGCAGAACGAACGTCCCCGCTGGCTGGTTCTCCAGGACTGATGTGCTCTCTCGGTACTGCTGACACTGAAGAGAATGAGACAGTGGGCATAGAGGACAGGTGGGAGGAAGAGAAGATCACTGCAATGTAAGTATGGAGGAACTTAGATCAATGCTCCATTCTTTCCTAACTCTAAGCAAGAGTGTGTGGGAAGTGGAATGGTACTTATTTTGAAAGGACGGATTAAAAATTGTTTACTGGTGGGACAAAAAGTGTAACATGGACACAAAATAACAAGTGTATAAAGAAAGAGAGTAGGAAGCCTAAGTGTACCTCTTTCATTTATGTATTTTCTACATTTGCTTGTCCTGTGTAAGGCAGATAGTGGTAGTAGGTTCAGAAGCCTATCCCAGCACCTATTGGGCAAAGGTGCTCAATAACTGGTGGTAAACATGAAATCTGCTGATCTTTTGGCACCAAATGTGTTTAGTACTGTCCATGCCTTTTTTTATTGGAAATGGGGTCAGCACTTCACAGAGAGCCTCCAGCAGTGTACCAGTAACTGCAGTTATATTCAAGAACAAATTTTGAGTGAGATATTACAAAAAATATAATTTGAACCATTTCTGTCTATTTTACCCATGCCATGTAGGACCATGTTTTACGTGGGAAAAATACGAGTGGGAGTGCATAATGTGGTTAAGAGTGCCTGACGCCTGTGTACTAGATTACTATAATTATAATATATACTGAAACACAGACTCTAAGCCAAAACCCTTGTTAACCTCAACATGCAACTGTCATCATATACCTGTCCAAGCTAAATACAAAAGTCTGACCTTGAAATGATGTTATGACAGTAATATAATATAATGCATTCAACATTCAAATGTTTAAAATGTCAGTTTACAGTTAAGATGCATAGCAAAACATTTAATTTAAAAAATATAACAACAAGTGAGAATAAAGCAGTGCAAAAGCTGTATACAAATATTTTGCAGATTGCAGGGCGACATCAAACTGGTGAGGTGCAGAAGACAGGCCTAACATTACAACTAAAGGTCAGATGGTGGGGGAGGGGAGACAAAAGGAAACACATACAGAAGCAACTTAAAAAACAAGATCAGAGAGTGCAAGACTGCCTACAAATACAAAGTTGAAAATTACTTTAAAGAAAATGACAGCAGGAAGGCCTGGCAAGCCTTACAACGGGCTACAAACAATCCCAAAGAACACATAATGATTGTTGATAATGACCCTCACAATTGCAAATGATTAAAAAATTTTCTATTGTAGGTTTGACACATGCAATTTCTGGTCGCAGCAGAAAGCGGCGTGGGACAATATAGACAGTATAACAGATGTGGATATATTGATTGCCGTGGAAGATGACAAACAGCATTACAAAATTCTGTCATATCCACAAACACGACAGTGAGTACGGGTTGAGCCCTCAACCCCCAAGTTTTCGGATGACACTGCGATAGTAGGTCTCCTTTACTCAAATCAGGTTTTCCTCTGTGCTTTTGAGAAAGAGACAGTGGACAGCGGACACAGTGGTGCGGACAATTCGTTTTTTTACTGTTTTTACTGATTTAGAATTGTTGTTTTTTTTTCTTTTCTGTCTTAATGTGTTTTATTATGACCATGTTACGTTATATTTGTGTATGCTATAGTCTTACTGTGGATGTTATGGTGGCTTTATGTGAGCACTGGACCAAACAAATTTGTGGGATAATAAAGTTGACCTCAAAAGAATGCTTTCTTGCCTGAAAATCACCACAACAACATGCATGCACTGTATGCAGTACTGACCTCATGTCAGCACTGTATTACCACTCTCACATTGTAAACTCGTAAGAGGATATGCTGCAAAACAGATTCTGTATGACTGGCATTGCACTTCTAAGAGTAATGCGGTTTTGCTATAAACTCATACCACATAATCTACTGGATATGAAAGAATACAATCAAGACTGAGAATGAAAATTAATTTAATGATTAATTATCTGCTGTTTGTGTTTGGAGGAAATCCTGGTGATATATAACTATAAGTCAAAATTTTAAAATTCAATCCTAAAACTCTAACCCTACCCTCCCTTTAACACTGCATAAATTCTTGGAGTTATCATAGCAATTCATTTAGCACTTTCAATTCTTGGTGTGATGCAAGGTAGCTACGTCATGTTTGAGTTCCTCAAAGATTTTGTCAATCACTGAACTTGTCAGACACACAAAGAGCTTTATTATCCTCATTTAAATGCTGCTTGGGTTTCACTTACTCCCTCTACTCTCTACCCCATTTCTTCTCTCTCTGGTCTTCTCTCATCTTTCTCTCGCTTCCTCTGTCTCCATCATCCCTTTTCCTTTTTGTCCTGTCTCAATGGTGTGCTGATGCTGATGTGCCACAGACACCGCGAAGAGGAAGGAATCCCTCAGTACTGCTGGCTGATGCCTTCTTTTGGCAACTTATTAATGACAGGAACTTTTTTTATCTTCTCAAGTTCCCTCGCAAGTTGCCTTTTTCTCAATCTTCTTATCTCTTGTCCTCTGCCCTTCATGCTACTAGCATGCAACAATGCTTTACCTTTCTCCACCCCTTTAACTTTTGAATGTCTTTCTTTCTTTCTTTAGAAGCCTTTATACATTTTTTCCTTCAGTGGTTAACATTTTGCTTTATGCCTTCCACACATTACAGTTATGGTCAAGATATGCAGGTTTGCATGCAGGCATTCACCCATGCAATTAATCAGAAGGGCCAAAGGAAGTGCTTTGTGTCATAAATGTTCAGTCAATGTGAAACGAACCAGGGTGTGTAGACCAGACAGTCCATATAACTTGCTGGCTCTTTTTGAGAGAATGATAATTTGGAGTAGCACTGCCAAGTGATAGTGATTCCAATACTCAACTCAAGGTATAGGCTGATGAAGTTGATGAGTACCAATTTGATAGGGATCATTTTCATCTATGGTGACATGAGGACATTTGTAACACACGTTGGCCATATGCGACTGAATGAATACAACCAATAGTGTAAATACTGAATTTTGTAATGACACTGATGAAATACTGTATTTTTATTTTATTTTGTATTTTCAGTCGTATCTGATCAACATCCAATCCGCTTAATAAGATCTATAAGTATCGACACCAAAACCAATTCAGTAGAATGTAGGGAGCAGCGTGTGCGGAGCACATCTGCACCAGATGCCAAGTTGCCCGCTGCCTGGAAGAAAAATATGTCCGTAGCTGGCCACTTTTTATGCCAAAATCTAAAAAGTAAAAAATGTATTAACCGGGTACTTTTTTTTATGTGTGTAGGTTTCTCCAATGGCAATTTTCACCTTTGAGTTATGAGTTTTTTATGGGAGTAACTGTAGTTTTACTTGAGTAAAGATTTTCAGCACTCTACCTACCACTACTAGAAATATAAAAATGTATGTGAATAAGCCCATATGCGAACAGGCCACAGGGGTATTGTAGGATAATGAATAAATGTAGTCATTGTGTGTGGGTCTATAGCTAGATATTATTGTCACAGGGAAATGCAGGATCTGGCTATATCCAAGAGATCTGGGCTATCTATACTTCTGTGTGTGTGTGTGTCTCTTGGTCCACTGATTCAGCCCTGAATTCCAGAGAGACTACTACATTATATGATTGGGCTTCAAACTAGATTAAAGAACCTATCTGTTTCAGTATCCTGCTGCATGGCTGCCAGCTACAGACGAAACACCAACGAACCTTAGATGTCTTTACTAAGAAACTGCCCCCCTTTGACTAAAGACACGCAAATAAAGCTGTTTGTGCAGTATTTTCTCTTCTATCTATTATTAGGTTTTTTCTTTGTTCATGAATTTGTATTTGCTTTATTTGGGCATGGTGAGTAGGGGGGTCAGGGGTTTGTTTGTCCGTTGCAATCAGCATCCTGCCAGCAAAGAGAAAGGAATGAATCATAGTGTTTGAGTATGATGCCAGCAAGAGAATCCTGAGAGAGACAATTGAGCATACAGAGAACATGAAACACTGTGGCCCAGGAATCCCTCTCTTTTCCTATTCTCTCTTGGCTCTCATCTTGTCGCCCGTCCCCCTGTTTCTTCCTGCTAAGGGGTGAAGCCGAAAGGGAAACACTTGGCGCTCACTTTCCCCCAGGAGAGTGTGAGTGAGGTTTACTCAGCAAGCCCCTGCTCCTAATCTTGGCTCGCGATACCTCCGGGGGGCTTGAAAAGTCACCTCATTTAAAATTGAGACATGGCTAGAAAAAAGCAGGTGGAGACGTAGTGCTTCCAGAGCGGGTCGGTCGGGATTTCTGCCACATCCCTCAAAGCTTTAATTAAAAGACCATGATGATGTAGGAGAGAGACGAGAGAGCAGAGACGAGGGGTCAAGCTGGCTAATCGCTCCTCCAGAGAGGAGAGGTAGAGGCTAATAAATAGAGGAGACAGACAAAGAGAGAGAGACAGAGGAGTGATACAGGAGAGTTATGTGGGACAGATAAAGACTGAAAAAGAGAGCTAGTAAAGGAAGGGATAGAGTGAGAAGTCATTGAGATATATGAAGAACGCGAGAAAGATGAGAAAAAAATTGCATGGCAACCGGGAGAGCAGACCTTTATCTAACACTCTTTCAAACACAAGCAGATAATGAGCACGACTAAACAAGGTTTAATGATGTGTATGCCATTGCTTGTCTTACCTTCTCAAAGACGGGCTTGTTGTTATTCACATCATCTACTCCCACTATGACTTGGGCCGTGGATGACAAGGCCTGAGGTCCGCCTGAGGCGTTGTCATCCGTTGCTGTAACGTTTAGGACATATTCAACACCTTGGAGGTGTGGCGGCGGGCTGGAGCGCAGACGGATCAAACCTGCAACCAAACATAAGGATTACAGCGGTTAACACAGAACACACAGTGAGAAGTTACTAATGTAACATCAGTAAATACTTGCTGCTTATATGTTCAACCTTTAAGTCTGAGATGAAAAGAAGTTATCATCATAGTGTTTGTATCATTTGAAAATCTCAAAGATAATACAAACACTTTAACTTCAACTATTAAATCTGGGTTGACCGCATGTTTACCAGACATGGTAATGAAGCCATTACAGAACATTGGTTGTTGAACAAATACAAGTACACAGATGTCTGGGTTAATTCAAAGCCTTGTGTCAGGGTTATTCATGTCCAGTTTGTTCTTTCATTAGTTTTTTTCAGGTTTAAATGAAATCTACTTGAAAATCTCTTCTCATTCACCAAATCTCTTTTTTTTTAAATTTGATTTCACATTAGCTATTAGCAACTACTATAACCAGAGCTGATATGTAAGGAGAACAAGTACAAAAAAAAATTGGTTCTCAGTTACACACATCAATACACATTAAGATATCATGGCAACCAAACAACTAAAAGACTATCTAGTGTGCAAATTACTATCTTAGAAATGTACCCCGAGCTGTGTTTATACTGCCCAGGTGGTATATTTAAGAACTCTTGATCTAAGCCAGAATTACTGGAACAACAGAGGCGACTGTACCCCAGGGGGTAGAGTAGTGTTGGCCATTCATTGTATGGTTGGTTGATCAATCCCTGGATCCTCTTGTTCACACGTCGAAGTGTCCTTCAGAAGTGCACCAGACCGAAAATTTGTCTCAGCATGTGTATTTGTGACAAAAACGACTGCCGAATTATTGTTGTGACATTTTTCTTTATGTGGCCAAGTGGCTTATGTTTCCTGTCTATACCATCACTGTCAATCTATCTACAAAAATAAAATAAAAAATCTTGGACTGGCCTGTTTGCAAACACTGTGCACATAACGGCAAGCCATATTATCCATTGTGTCTTAATCAGTGAGTGTCAGTTATGAAATCTCTGTCAGACTTCTTTTCATGTTTGATGTACAAAAAGTTTAGACCCACCCCAGTCTAGAGTTTGAGCATTGCACATTGTTGTCAGAGTAAACCAAGGAGCTTATTTTAGCAACAGATTTATGTGAAAGTTTAGTTCAAACCTTTTTCAATTTTAATGCAATGTTAACACTATAGACAATGCCAATTTAACCGACTGCCTCAAATTCTGGGTTGACATCAATGCCACAGCCTCTACAATAATTGCTGCAGCTCATCCCACACATACTATAGGCTCAAACAGATAATTAAGACTGAGCTTACAGACAAAAAAACATTTCTGACATTAAACCTAACTGCTTCAGCAAGAAAAAGAAAAAAAATGATGGCAAACAAAAGCACAGGTTTTTCTATGTCTCTCATTTTCAGTCCCACAAGTCTTTTTACGAAAGTGGAATGCTTGAACACACACAGATGGTGTCTGTGATATTAAATGGAAGGTTGGTAAAGCAGGTAAACAGTATAATAGCCAAAATTGTACTGTAGTACAAGTATTCTTATATTAAGACCGAAAATTAGTCATCAGTGTCCCTGTAGTTAATTAAATCAGACCTCCAAGAGACTTTTAAGCAACACACCAACAAAAGTTAGCATTTAGCTTTGGCCACTTACTAATAAGATACTCATGTACTTATTAGAGTATGTTGATGCTCAATGTAAATCAGAGCAGTTTTTTTTCTTTTCAGACTGTTTTTCATGTACTTAAGCTCAAGCACGTAATGTAAACAATCTTGTCCCAGACCTAACCAAGTGGTGTATGTGTGTGTGTGTGACAGTCTACCAGTGTCACAACCTCCACCTGTGACACCTAGCTGGTTAGGTGAGTAGCTAATACGGCCATCATTCAGTCACCTGACTAAAGAACAAAGCTTGTAGATTTTAGATCATTAATAAACGCAGTTAATAGAGATGTCCCAAACAAGTTGTGTAGCCCCGGATCCAATCCGAGTCATTTAATACTGAGTATTTGCCAGTACAGAGTCCCAATCCAATACTTGTATTTTGTTGACATTACACTTCAAGTACATTAAAGTCACTAATATCAATCTTATGCTTGACAATTAAATAGCTCTATATTGCATTAATGCAGTGTTTTCATTTTGTATTGTTTTTTACATAATGAAGTATGAAATAACAAACCCTCTATAACCTTTCGGTCTTGTTGCTGTCTGGAGAAAGTTTTTGTGCCAGTGTTTGGTGCCCTTTCCTGAATTACCTGAATGAACTGTCTGTACAGTTTTGAGTGTTTATTTCTGTTGTCTCTACATCTTTTGCACAGATAACATTAAGTTATTAATGTGAGATCGGATCGGGGCATCCCTAGTAGTTAATATAGCAATTAGAGTACATGACTCCAGTAAAATATATCATAAAGTCTGTTTTATTCCCTCCGCTGTGGGCTCTGCTGAGGTCCAATCTGTATGTTAAAAAAAATGGCAACTGTGGTCTGTGCTGGCAATGAGAGGTACATATGCTCAGATATCTTGTATGTTTTATTTTAGTACCTTCTGGGCTTCAAAAAACATCAAAAACACCTAGGCTATTTAGGAAAAGTCATGGGCTAAATAGCTTGTAGTTTTTATTTAAAAAGTTATTTGCATTATAAAAACCCAAACCAGTGTTTGTTAAGGCTGAGTACTTGACGAGTTGGGAGCGAGAATGAGTTGGTAGTTCAGCTATTCTAAAGTTATTTTTTTTTTTTAATTTACAATGACGGTGTGATGTGTCCTATTCTGCTTTGTTTCAGTGCATGTGTGTGGTAGATTACTTAACACATGGAAATGCTTTGAAAACAAGTATGAGTAATTGGGAGAGCATTACAGTTTTTAGAATAAAATAATAAGACTTTGGATTCAACTCTTGGGATTACTGAGGTGTACGTGTGGAGTGGACACAGCACTGTCTGCAACCAGCAGGTATGAAAACTATACATTGAAATTATGAAATAATCAATACAATCAACACGACATAGAAAAGTGAGAACTAGGTTGAAAATAACCCACATTATCCTTCACACTTTCTGTGCTGTTGCAAAGGCACAACAGTTTCTTTTGTAAGTAAGAAGAAAAAAGCCAAGGCATGAGAGAGAAAGAGGTTTCTGGTGGACACACTTTATTTCAGCTCTTAGCTCAGATTTCATTAATTATGGCTACACAACATATAAATAGTTAAATTGATTGGTATTCCCTTTTAGCGCCATCATTCTGACATTCCATTTCATCCCATCTCTCTTACTGACTCTTTCAGTCCGGTGTAGGCGTCTCATCTGCATCCCACTCTGTTTTGAATGACTCTCCTCCGCTCTGTATTCATCTCACCCTTTGGTGCTCTGTTTACTTTGTGTGTGTTTGTGTGAGAGAGTGTGTGTGTGTGGGCTAAAAGTGCAGACACACTTATTACATCCTCCTTATCTTCAGAGGCAGGGGCAGGTGCTATGGCTGTCATCTGTTCATTTGGTTGCTGTTTCACAAGAGACCCTGGAATTGGAATCATATGTACACTTATCATAGATATGTATGTGTGCGTGTACTATTCATCCCTCTATCTCGGTTTACCAGACCAAGGGAACTGATGAGACAGATTACAGCCAGACGGTGTATGATTTTTGTTTATTTATTTTTTGTGCGTGTGCGTTCATAGCTACTGCACAAGCATGACACATGTGGAAGGAAGATTTATTTGTAGATGAGTCTTTGGAAATGAATGATAGAGTAAACAGGATGATGCAAAGAGGAGGATTTCTGTTGCTCAAGTTAAAGCTGTACATGCTCATACATTTTGAAATGCACATGTACAGTATGTCCCTCCTGTTTGCCTTTGAGTGTGCATGTGTGTGCTGTTGCACAAGAGATGGAGGATTGCCATGGAGGGGGTGTCTGCCCCGAGGTGTTTGTCACAATGGCTGGTTCCCTGGCACAGCTGTCCATGGTTAAGGGTATGAGTAGGGGTGTGTGTGTGTGTGTGTGTGTCTGTGTGTGTCTGTGTGTAAGTGGAAGAGGTAAAAATAGACAGGGAGGGAAAGAGAGAGAGAGAGGGAAAAGATGATTCCAATTTACAGCCGTGGAGGTGTGAGGGGAGGAAGCTTTGCCTCAAGAAAGACGTGTCACATACATTGTGTCAGACACATATAAATGCATAAATATACTCACACAGACACCTACACGGTAAAATACACACAGGAGCACACAAACACTTACATTCAGAAAACGCTGCTGCAGAGGTTTATGCCGAGTACAATAAAGTCCAGCAGTGAATTTTCAGGCCAGACTACAGCCAGCCAGCGTGCACAGAAAACTGAGGGGATGTTTTGCAAAAGCTTGTTTGTAGATAATTAATATGCCTCTTATTTAATATCCTAATTTAATGCTATTATGTTATTTCATAGGGACCACATTTTGCCTTGTGTTTTAAGGGAGTCCAGATTCTGTGGTTTAACAAAGATCCACCATATACAGGCATGTTTTATGCTCTTTTATTTTATTAGTCTTGGAAAACTGACCCGATTTTCATAACATTCTGCACACAACACAGTGGTGACATGCTGTGTTGGCTCAGAATTTTGATGGTCTTTACCACTGTGAAACACAAATGCTTTTTATGTTGAATATACACAAAACCTAATTCCTAAATGTCTCCAGCGAGTACCGACATTTTGACATGAACACTACACTTTTTAATCTCAACCTCCCCCCCAAAAAGAAGCACAATTTTCCGTAACTACTTATAACACACTTTTGCATCACAGAATTGTGATCCATATAACTGTGATACACAAAAGAAGATAATGTCAACGAGGAAGAGATCCAAAAATTCCTTATAGGAATATTTATATGGCCATTATTGTATTAAAAATATTTACCAATGTATGTGAGTTGTGTTACTAAATGTGTGCGTAATCAGATTTGTAAATGCGTACAGTTATCTGCAAATGTGTGTTCAGAATCTGTGTGTGCATAATCAG